TCTTATTGTTGCATCAGTAATTGATGTTTTAAATAAATATATTATTCCTCAAGATTTTACTGAATGTTTCCTTGAATGTTAAACCCCAGCTGCCCAGTTTCAGTTGAGAGGGTGTTCACTGTGTAGTGTACCTCTGTCCACGTCCTGTTCGGGCTATTGACCTCACTGCCTAGCTGCTACATCTGCGGGCCCCTTGCTCTAGCCCTGTCTAATTGTGAATCAGGACACCTACAGGGCAGCGTCAACAAAACACCTGGCTCGTGCTCCGTGGTGATGCATTTGCAGGACGTCTAACGGGTCCTTCGGGCCCCTCCAGCGCCTCGAGCAGCCCCCGCGGCCGGACCGCGGCCGGGCCGGGGCCCTTGCGATGACAGTGGGGAATGCGAGTGAATGGTCTGGTCGAGCCGGGGGGCCCGGGCCGCACCGGGGCCGCGACTGCACTCCGCATTGTCACGGGCCGCATGCCCGCGGGGCAGATGAAGATGGGGTAGTGGAGGGGAACGGTGCGGCGCTCCCGATGGCAGGTGCCGTTGATGCTGTGGTCCAGCGTCTCCGCCAGTGCGGTGGAGACCACCACCCGGGCCGTACGCCTCTCACCTGGAGCCCCTCGCCATGGCCTGGACGGACTTGACGTGGCGGCAGCTCGCGCTCCGGCTGGCCACAGCCGCCGTCGTGTGGTCGTTGGCCGCCCCGCTCGCCCTGTTCTTCGTCCTCACGCTTCTGCTGCGCTTCGTGTGGAGTCCCCGCAGCGGCTTCTGGCGGCCCAAGCCCCGCGACCAGCCGCCCGAGGCCCTCCTGGACACCACTCTGGGCCAACACGAGTACGTCACCCTGGCCAAGGTAAGCCACTTCCCGCCTGGTCTCGCTGGCGCACGCGTTTGAACAGCCGCGCGGAGCGGGCCGCGCCGCTTCCGGCTTCGGGTGGCCGCCGAGTCTGTACTTCGGCTATAGCCGAAAGCACGTTCGGCTCGCGTCCGCCGACGAAGGTTCAGCGCCAACCGTACCGCGCCGCGCTCATTGTCCCCCACCATCCGATATGGTCTAGTGGCTAGGATACCTGGCTCTCACCCAGGAGGCTCGGGTTCGATTCCCGGTATCGGAAAATTTTGTTTCTCCCTCCTGGACAATTTTTCCTCCCGACGAGCCCGCATGCACTTTTGCACGACGCCTACTTCTGCTCCCAGTAAGCGTCCCTGTGGATACGGCAGAGACGGGCGATGGGCGATGTCACCGGGACCACTGGCTTTGCGACGTTGGCTGTGTTCGTATGGTTCGTACGGTTCGTACCCGATGCGGCCTGAGGGTAGGGGATGTAAGGGACCCGTGTGTTAATTGCTCGCGATGAACTGTACAACTTCGCCCCGGGCCCCCCGGGCCAAGACTCCATTCTGGGCGCCGGGCAATTCGCTATGAGCATGGCCGTCGAGGCTTCGAGGCTGGCCCACAGGCGGCCCCCGGTGACACCGCTATGCTTTCTCCTCGTTTCTCCCCTTCCTTCAGCCGTTCGGGCAGTTTGATGGTCCGCGTCGCGCCTGTCGCGGGGCGGCACTCTTTGCGAGAGTGACGAGGCTGTTTTCGCCAGCCGGCCTCTGTGCACCTTCTGCAGATCCCTGGGCTCTTTGCCCCCCCCCCCCCGCCCGCCCCCCCGGCCTTTGCCCTCCGTATGACTCTTTCCCAACATCCTTTGGCTTCCAGGGCATCAAGCTCCACTACGTTCACAATGGAGACACGAATCGCCCCTTAATGCTCTTCCTCCACGGTTTCCCCGAGTTTTGGTACTCTTGGAAACACCAGCTACAGGAGTTCGCCAAAGACTACTGGTACAGTATTGAAAATGTTTAGACGTCAGACTCGAGTGCAAAGGTGCTCAAGTGACTCGGTGAAAGTGTCTGACTCCTTTCATTATCGCCGGCTTCGCATCGCAGGGTCGTAGCCGTGGACATGCGAGGGTACGGCGATTCGGACAAGCCTTCGGGGACCTCCTCCTACAGAGCAGACATCCTGGTGGACGACGTGCGGGAGCTGCTCGATGCCTTTGGTACGTAGTGCATACCAGGTGGCTGACAGGCCTCGCCCCCTTTTGAAGTTGCAATGTGCTACAGTGTATAACTGCTTGTGGCGTGAGGTAAAGTTCGAGCGACAAACGTTCTCTTGCCCGACGTTGCTCCCGCGCTTGGGCGCTCTGCCGGGCGGGCCGCCGTCTCTGCACAGCTGCGTGGCGGGCTTGCCTACCCAGCGCGTGGCAGGCGCTCCTCGTGCGACGTTCATTTAATGAGGGCATTAAATGAAGTCGGGAACGTTCCTACCTTTCCCCGTTCAATAACCTTTGGCGATAAGAAAAGTTCTATCTGACACAGAGCGGCCGCGCGCCTCGCTAGTGGGCCACGGCTGGGGTGCCGCCGTCGCCTGGATGTTCCTGGAGAGGTACCCGGAGCGCGTCGAGAGGCTGGCGAGCATCGGTGCCCCCCACCCCTACGTGTTCCAGCGGGCGTTGGCTCTCAACAGGAAGCAGCTGAAGAGGTCGTGGTGCGTACGAACTGTCCTCCACAGGGGGCGGTATGCGGTGTCTTAAAAGTAGTTGGCAGTTGCTTCGGCTTTGGTACAGTTTTGATTTCCTCGATCAGGTACTTCTTCCTGTTCCAAGTGCCTTGGGTGCCCGAGCTCGTCCTACGTTGCGATGACCTGGCCTGTCTGTCGGCCGCCCTACGGCGAGGACGCCGCCACTCTCCGACGGTCACGGACCAGGACCTGGAGGCCTACAAGTACACCTTCGGGAAGTCCGGGGCGCTGACGGGCCCGCTCAACTACTACCGGGCCGCGGGCTGGGGGCTGCCGCGGCGCTGGCGCCCGCACCGCTGCGCCGCCCTTGCCGATGACGTCGCCGTCGACGAAGGAATCACTCCGGATGAGAAAGAACCCAAGACGGGCGAGAGCGTCGCCAAGGAGGACGAAGAGACGGAGGACGTACAGCAAAACAATTTCAAGTAGGAGAACCACTATCTTTTTGAACGAGAGGCAGGGTGCGTTGTGCGTGTGTTCACTCGCCTCTCGCTTGCACAGCGCCGCAGACTCCACGACGCCGCCTTCCCCCACGGGGTCGGGTGCTCCGGATGGGACAGCCGACGCCGCCCCTGCGCCCAGCGTGCTGGTGTTGCTCGGCGGCCGCGACGCGTACGTCGAGCACTCTACCGCCTTTCGGACTCGCAAGCAGTTCCCCAACGTGAGCGTCGTCATTGTCCGAGACGCCAACCATTTCGCGCACCTTGACGACCCCGCGGCCGTCAACCGACACCTGCGCAAGTTTATGGCCGCAGACTAGTGTGGTCGGGCGCCATGTTGTACGTGGCTACAAGCCCGACAGTACGCATATTTATTACTATTTATTTGATTTTGCTTCAATTTTAATATTTGTTCAAGAATTATTGTCGATTAATGGTCGATCAAGACTGATGTTAGTATTGTAGTTATGCTATGCTCTCTTCTTTGAAAAGGAAATTAAAAACTCCATCTTTCTTTTTAAAAAAAAGTTGAAATGGGTCTTTTTATTGTAACTTGTAGTGGTCTAAAAAAAAATGAAGGACGAAAACTTACAATAGAACTTCTAGTCTTTTCGTAGAAGTGGGCGGCGTGCGGCAGTGATTTCTTTTCTTTGTGTGTGAACGTATATGTACAGATTTACATTGACCAAAAGCGCCACCTATCGACACAGGACTCAGTTCAGCCGGACGGCATCAGGACGACTCTTCACAGCCATAGATTTCCAGGGGAGCCTGGAGGGGCGGGCGGGGATAGGGCTGCCGACTAGTGCTTGGTGGGGGGCAGCGTGGTGGCGTGTCGCGGGTCGACAAACTTGCCGCTGGCGAACAGCTTCTGCCACTCGGAGCCGATGGGCCACTCGTAGCCCTCCGCGGCCTCGCGCTCTAGCTCCGTGCTGTAGCCGGGTGCCTGGGGACCGGAGGGAAGAAGCACTTTAGCATCGGCGGCGCCGAGCATGCGCCATACCGCCACGGCCTGGATACTCTACCTTGGGTGTCATGTAATGACTGTTGCGGACGACCACGGGGTGGACGAAGTGCTCGTGCTGCTGGTCGACGTACTCGATGAAGCGTCCCTCACTGCTCTGGGACAGGCAGATGTAGTCGAACAGCTGCAGGTGCTGCACCATCTCGCACAGGCCGACGCCGCCAGCATGCGGGCAGACCTTCACTGCAAGCCGGCGAGGGAAAGGAACGGTTCGAATTATCATCTGATAAGAAAATCTGCTTGTTTGGCTCTGGCTTTGCACGACTGCGGGGTGGTTTACCTCCGAGCTTGTACGCCATGAGGTACACGGCCAGGATCTCGTTGACGCCGCCGATACGCGCAGAGTCGATCTGGCAGAACTGCATGGCGCCGGACTGCAGGAACTGCTTGAACAGCACGCGGTTGCAGCACATCTCGCCGGTAGCCACGCCGATGCCCAGGGGGGCCAATGCCTTGGAGATGGCGAGGTGGCCGAGGACGTCGTCTGGGGAGGTGGGCTCCTCGATCCACAGGGGCTTGAAGGGCGCCAGCTCCTTCATCCACGCGATGGCCTCCTGTACGTCCCAGTTCTGGTTGGCGTCCACCATCTGGAAGCACCACGCATGGTGAGTTTACACGGGTTAGAGCCATATCTGACCTTCATTGTCACATGACGACGTTTCAGATTATTATTTGTTAAAGTTTTTTATTTGTTAAAGTTTTTGAGGGGAATGGTTTTTCTGGACCCGCGCACCAAGCAGGCTGATAAGCCGCTAGTATCTCGCCCTGCCCTCCCACACCGCCTCAGTTGCAGGCAACACACCAACAGATAAAACCACGGTGGCGCGAAAATCCCACTCAGGGCCGGGGAAAAGGGGGGGGGGGGGCGAGGCGGCAAAGAGCAAGGTCAGGTAAAGTTGGGCACAGTAGTTGTGCACATGACGTACTTGGTGCAGCAGCGCGGCTCAGCGCGGCCAGCCCATCAAACTGAGGCGTAATTGCGCCTAGCTGGCGCCTAGCTAACGCCTAGCTAACGCCTAGCCGACGCCTAGCTGGCGCCTACCGCTGCGCGCACAATCAGAAATCAGAGACGCTCACCAGCAGCTTGTCGTCGCCGATGATCTGTCTGACGAGCTTGCAGCGCCGCTTGTCGTCCGACAGGTCCTGTCCGACCTTGAGCTTAAAGGCGGTGAAGCCCTCGGACAGGTACTTGTGACACAGCTGGGTCACGGTCTCGTTGGAGTAGCCCAGCCAGCCCACCTGGGAGAGAGCGAGGGAGGAACGCATGAATGAGAACGTGATGATGCGGTCCTGGAGGACCATGGGCCCCATGGCATGGGGACGCATGCTGGCCGGCAGATTCAAGGTACCTGTGTGGTGTAGGCGGGGTACCCTTTGGTCAGCACCTCGCGCTCCATCTTCTCGCGGTTGGGCTGGCGCTCCTTGAGGATCTTGATGGCCTCCTGGGGCGTAATGACGTCCGTGCTGTGAGGACAAAGAGTCCACCGGTCCAGAGTCAGTTTGGCTTTCAGACTGGGTAGAAGGCGGGATGGTGTACACGTGGAGGTCGCCTACACTCACATGTATCTGAAGTCGATGCAGTTGACGAGCTGCTCGGGCTCCATGTCGGCGATGAGCTTCCAGAGGGGCTTGTGCTGCACGCGAGCCCACAGGTCCCAGAGCGCGTTGACGAGGGCGGCGGTGGCGAGGTGCATCACTCCCTTCTCCGGGCCGATCTGCACAAATAAAAGCGAGTCGTTTCACCTCCCTGGTCCGACACGTCCCATCCCCACCGGCGGCGTGGGCAGTGAGGGGTTTGCCGCAAATGTGCTACAACCGTGCTGCAAACGTGCACCCAGATTGTACAGTACTAATGCAAGGCGTGCAACGCAACGTCCGTGGCGATGCCTCTCCATCTCACCCATCGGAGCTGAGTCTCGCTTGTGAGCTTCCTCCAGAAGCTGCCGAAGTTGTTGAAGATGTCGGCGGCGTCCTTGCCGATCACGAGGCTCGACAGGGTGTGCACGGCCTGTACAACTGCGGAGAGAAGGGGGTGGAGATGGAGTGAGACACAAGTGGGACATTTAATTGTTCGTGTTCTGTTAGTTCGTCAGGCTGCCTCCGCCACGCTTACCGATTTCAGTGCCCCTGCCGAGGGTGAAGGTGAGGCCGTGGCCCTCCGCGCCGTTCATGGTGTAGATGACGACGTAGGCGCACGAGTAGTCGGGGTCGGTATGCATGGCGTCGGAACCGTGGGCGCCGAGGGACGTGGGCCAGCGCATGTCTCGCACCGAAACGTTGCGGATCATGAGACCTTCGCCGGACCGGCTGGCGCTGCAGGTGAAAGAAAGGAAGGGCCAACGTTAATGACTATCGGAGTGATGGCACCTTTACGGCACGCACTCCCCCC